ATGAATGTCGGAAGTTTGTCTGGTCTTGGTGTAATTAAGGCTCAATTTGTGTTGCTGTGGGAGGTGTAAATGAATCGAGTTCTAAATCTGTTAGTATGCTTGACGTATCTTCACAATCGCCCTCATGGGTTCCAATGGCCGACATGTTAGTTAGTAGATGGCAATTAGGAGTTGGAGTATTAAGTGATTCCATATATGCTGTAAGTTAAATAAATATTTATATTACTTATTTTATTATTATAATTTTTAATTCTAGGTTGGTGGAGGTAATTTCGAAAATGCATTAGATAGTGTAGAGGTTTTCGATGTCAGTATTCAAAAATGGAGAATGGTGGCTAGTATGTCAATTAAGAGATATGGTTTGGGTGTTGGAGTACTAAATAATCTTTTATACGTGGTGAATAATTATATTATTTATTTATTTGTAATTTGTAATAAATTTCATAAAATTAAGTTGTGTAGGTTGGGGGTGCTGGTGGTGGTGACATTGTTGATTCTGTGGAATTTTATGATCCCGCACTTGACACATGGACAACAGTTGCAAAAATGTCTAAATGGCGTAAATGGGTTAGTGTAGGAGTCATGGACGGCGTGATGTATGCAATTGGTGGCTTTGATGGAAGTGTGTATCTTAAAATGGTAGAGGCTTATAGACCGAGTGATGGAGTTTGGTCTTCTGTAGCTGATATGCAATTCCCTCGATACAGGCCTGGTAACTAAAATAATAATTTTTTTTAAGTTAAATATACCGATTTTGTCCTGGTAACTATAATAGTTATATATCTTAGGACAACCTTGTAAAAATGTATTGAATTTAAATTAAATTTTTATATAGGAGTAGTGGCATTAGATGGTTTATTGTATGTGATGGGCGGAGAATCTGATGAATCTATCAATGATACTGTAGAAATTTACAACCCTAAAACCAATACTTGGACCTTGGAGAGCTTGTCAAGAAATGAAGTACACATTTATGGTGGAGTAGTTGTTGATAAACCACCACATTTTATTAACTAATCGGCATACATAATAGTCTCATTGTTGGTAGAAATATGATCATATTTATGTATAATTCATGACAAAACATATTGATTTATTAATTTTTGTTTTTTTGAATATTTGATAAAAGTTGTTTTATAATTTAAATTAATTATTTACAAATTAAATGTATAAGCTAAAATGTTATTTGTATTGCAGTGGATCAGCAAAAAAACTTGTATAAATTACAATATTCAGTATATCTTTTAGATTTTGTGCAGTGATAAATTTATTAATTTTTCTATGATATTTGGTTTTGGATTTTTGTGTACACAATAAACATAATAGATACCATAATACAACAATTATTTATCATTTTATATACATGATCAAAATATTTTGACTCTGTGCTATTTATAGATATTTAAAAATGTATTACTTTTCTATTTATGTCACTAAGTTAATTCAAGGTTGTTATAATACATCATAGATTTATATTTTATAACTTGAAAATTCAAATTTTGGCAAATGTTTTTAATTATTTTGTAGTTATAAATTTATAAAAAATTTTAATTTTTGTAAGTGAAGATAGAACATTTAAAACAAGGTTTCTCTTAGGTTGTTTATATTGCAACAAAAATCAAAAAAAAATTTAAACAGTTTTTTATTATAGATATTTTAAGTTCAAATTTGGACGAAATAAGATATTTAAAAAACGAAAATCAATATTTTAGTTACTTCGTTGTAATTTAAAAATATAAATCTTGAATCAAGGGCACTTGAAGCTTTTATGGAGGATCCAGCATATGGTGTTTTAAGGAGGAATATTTAGAAGGCAATTAGCTTGATATATACATTTGATCCCTTCTATGTGTAAGTAGGAAATAAACATTGTGTTTCCGAGATATGCAGTTAGGACTATCCAATGCTCCGATTTTCGAGAGCAGCATCTTTTCTGATAGAAAAGTTAATCTAGTTGGTACTTATGGAAGGTAAAAATTGAAAATTCTATGAAGTTTTAGAAAATGTCAAAACAAAAAAAATTTGAAATATTTTGATTGAGCTAGTTATAGGTAGGCTTGACATTTTTTTTCAATTACAATTTCAATACAATTTTATTTGTTAAATAAAAAGCTTGAAAGTTTAATAAAAGGCTCCTAATATCTTGTTACAACGATATTTGAAAAACATTAAATATTGGGTCACGATTTTTTTTTACAAGCATTTAAAGTTAAAATCTTGACAAAATACCTAAAAATCACGAAAATGAGCAAATTATTTTGAAAATCATGAGCAATTTTCTTTCATAATCAAAGATTTGAAATTTATTATTTATCTACTCGTGTCCAAACGAATTTTAGACTTAGACATAATAAAAAAATCACCCGGTCACGATCTAATTACTAATGCTATTCTAAAAAATATTCCTAGTAAAGCAATTACTTATTTAGCCATATTATTCAATTCCCTAATAAAAATTGGATATTTTCCTAAGGAATGGAAACTGGCCACAATCATCATGATCAAAAAAAAGTTCCAACTTCCAAAATAATGATTTTCGTAACATTTTGTTTGGACCACCGTTCTTGTCATGTTGAAATACGTATGTTTCAAAAAAAATGCTGGGAAGCTAAAATTACTTTGTTCCAAAAATATGAAGGAAAAATGAGAATTTTCAAAATAATCGATTTTATTCATTAACTCAAAAACTCATCACCGTAGGCAGTAGGCACTTGAAATTTTCACCAAATATATTTATATATTAGAATTTTTTTATACATGATGAAAATATATACACAAAATATATATATATTGACTCTTTTGTAGCTATATTATTACAACCTTGAGAATTTTTACCGTCGATAAATAATAATTTTTTTTCGCTCGATGAAAAAACTATTGAACATTTAATGCGATTAACGCAAAAATTAAAAATACTTAATAATTAGTATTATAATTAAACTAAATTAATCGATGCGGCCCGGCATTAGACTATTATAAAAAATGTACGATAATAATACGTCAATAAAACGTCACTTACCAATCGAAAAATCCTATAAACCCAATTACGGTGTTTATAGCGTGTCGGGAGGTGACGACATTTTTGAGTAAGACATTTTCACCGAGCGGTGTTTTCGAATTGCGGACAAAGTGACAAAAACCATGTGAGTTGCGGACGAAATCTAAAAAGGTAACATACGAATTGTGCGGACACAAATATAAGATACTAATTGTGGTGAAATCACTAAATCAGTAGAATATCATATTATATACAGGCTGTTTGAAAACTATGACGATAATTAATAATGACGATAATCTATAAATATTTTATAAACAACTTTTTCCACAAAATTAAAACAATCTATAATTCAACAACATTTTAAAAATAACGATTGCTCTTTTGCAAGACACGAATATTTTTAACCCCACCTACCAATTTTTTTTTTAGCTATTGTCATAAGTCCTGAAAAAGTGGTGAAGGGAAATATTTGTGTCCACAACTAACGTAGTTTTTATTAAAAAAAAGCTCTGTACGCAATTAGTATTAAGACAACGAAACTCGTGTCCGCGATTGTTATATTATAAATTCCTAACCTGAATTCGTCCGCAACTAGTTAGTACCTAGGTTAGGTATCCCAATGCGTACGGAACGCCGTTTAGCAACTCAATTGCTGCAATGATCCAGGCTGGATTCCTGGTTTAGTGTGTACAGCAGTGGCGTAGCCAGCGGGTAGGCCTGGTAGGCCCGGGCCTACTCACTTTTTTCCAAAAAAATTTTTTATCCTTTTAAATATGTAGTGTATATGACTATAATATGTATTTAAAATAATAGAATTAATATTAATATTAAAACCGTATTTACAATATTATTGTAAATACGGTTTTAATTATCGAAATTAAATCCTGATGGTTTTTAATCGGTTCTGCAAATCAGTTAATGACACGTCTTTTATTTTGAGTGTTATGGTTTAATAACCGATCAATTCCTGTTAATCGGCATCCGTCGAAAATCGAAATGTATAGTGCATCAAAGCCAGTGTATAATATAATATTTTAGCCCGACAGCCCGTATTGCCCGTTTCCTACAATATGATAGATATTAATCTTATCCATTCAATTGACGATTATTTCCAAAAATAACGAGACGGTAATATAAGTAAATAAGTTGTAGTCGGATAGATACGCTTGCGATTGTCGATTAGTTTAATACCTACTAATCGCACTGCGTCACTCCGTTCGCCTTTAGTACAACGTAGTGATTATGTTTCGCTTATATTTTTACTTAGTCCGTCGCGTTGCTCGAAAAATGGAACGTTTTTTAATCACACCAGGTAATTTAAAATCAACTGCTGTTTCAACTGTTTCGGAGCCTAATGACCCTGAATCAATTGCGCGTACACCAATATCAGATACAAATAAACAGTTGAATTTAAACATTTTTGATATTAGTGTAACTTGTGAGGATACCGCTGTACAACCTGTCATCAGTTTTCCTCGTACTTTTATATCTTTGAAGCAACTTAGCTTTCAAAGCAGTTGGTACAATAAGTACCCATGGTTGGAATACTCAATTAAAATGAATGCTGTATTTTGTTATTATTGTCGTCATTTTCCTTCTCATTCGCAAATTGAAAAAGATGTTCTAATTACTGGTGGATATTGTGATTGGAAAAATATAAGTAACATGACTAAAAAACATGATAAGACTACTTCACATAAAAATGCAATTGCTAAATATGGCGCATGGCTATCAACCAAAAAAACTGGATCAGTTTCGACTCAAATAAATAAACAAGTCAAAGAGCAAGTTATAAAAAATCGAGCTATTTTAAAAAGTGTAATAAGGTGTGTTTTATATTGTGCACGGCAAGATATCGGACTACGAGAACATCGAAGAGAAAGAAAAGAAGAATTCAATAGTGAAAATTATGATGCAAGTTTGTGTTCACGTCATGACGTAAATGAAGGTAACTTTTTGGAAATTATAAAATTACTTTCCATCGAAAATGAACATTTTAAAACAAATTTTAATTTATTACCTAAAAATAGCAAATACATATCGCCTGAAATACAAAATGATATAATAAAAGCTACTTCAAAGCTTGTATTAGGTACAATTAATAGTAAAGGAAGTTCATATTGGGAGCCAGATATTTAGTTTAATTGTAGATGAGGCTAGAGATCAGTCAAAAATTGAACAAATGAGTATTTGTATTCGATATTTGCACAATTTCAAAATTAAAGAAAGATTTTTAGGTTTTGTCGAATTGAACGATTTAAATGCTCAAGCACAGTGTGATGGCATAATATTTTTTTTAAATAATGTTGGTTTAGATGTTTCAAATTGTGTAAGTCAATCATATGATGGGGCGTCAGTAATGTCCGGAGCTTTTTCTAGTGTTCAAATAAAAATAAGGGAATTAGCACAAAATCCGTGTCCGTATATTCATTGTTTTGGTAGTTCCAGTATCTAGTGCCTCAGCAGAAAGGAGTTTCTCGACGATGAAAAGAGTAAAAACATATCTGAGGTCAACGATGACAAGTAGCAGACTAAATAATTTAACTTTGCTGTCTATTGAGAGAAATAAGTGGAAAATTCATAGAAAATCCATCTGCTGTAATTGACGAGTTTGCATAAATGAAAAAAAGAAAATTAGAATTTTCAATCTAAAACTATTTTAATAAAGCTATATCTTTTTTATTAATTTAATTTTATACTTTTAGTTTTACAATATAAGATAAATCTGTGTAATATGCCTATAATAAATGTATAACATACGGTATTCTGATACTTTTTTTTTTTATAAAACTATTCATTGGTAATCCTTACATCAAAATATCGGGCCTACCCAAAAAAAAGTGTCTAGCTACGCCACTGGTGTACTGTGTACAGATCATCCTGACGGCCATGACTGCCAGCACGAGGGCCATGCAATTGCCATCATAGACCATCTTTCTGATTATCCAACCGGACCAGAAAAAAAAAATTGTATTTCACCGCCCAAACACTGAATGCCTTGTGCTAGACCTATTGGAGCGTTTTCACCCACGCCCGTTGGCTGTGGTCGTCGTTAGCTGAAACCAAGTCTTCCATGTAGGTACCTTTATTAAAATATTATGATTAATAATTCGACACAAATTTTGAAGGAGCACACAACACAAAAAAAAATGTTATTACATTTTTTTTTAATGTTATAATACTGTAGCTATGGCTATATGAAACGATGTGGTGAAAATCCAATGTAAAACAAAAATTATTATATAGGTACTCCAAGAGATATTAAGAAATTTAGAATAGCCAATCGTAATTGCCTAATATCTTATTCGTTTATTTAACCCGCATTATTGTCCTTAATATAATATAATACAATATAAATCCGTAAGATCATTGCTCACAACAGTATTATAAATAAATATACTACAGTCTAGAATCTAGATCACTATTCACTATGCATACTATTATATATTTTAATTTAATTTATTTGTCATTGTAAGTCATTTTATTATGTAATAATTATATCTAAATGGGTAGAACATAAAATAATATGCAATATGTGGGATATTTTTCCTAAATTCATGTACGTTTGTGGTATTCCATCAAAACAGTAGGTACCTACATATTATATATGTAATCGGGCAAATGGGTAATGCTCATCAATGATAAACATTAGGTATTTAGAGAAGCCACCTGTAAAGGATGGTGTTGAATTTGAATTCAGTGATATAATAACATTGTACACAAAAAAAGGATTCTGAGCAGAGACGGTGTGTCAGCCAACGATATCTTATGTTATAAATATATATTTTTTACCATTATACCTACTGTACAGTCTATGGTAGCCAGTGAGTTGAATTAATTCCTATAATATGCATAAAACAATGTATAATTCCTCATGTACCTATTAATAATCTTTCAAAGATTATATTGATTGAATTTTAGTACTGAACAATAAAAATAAAAATAAATAATGCTACTTGTACCTCAGTGACGTCTGTAAAATACACGAAATAAAAAATAGCTTAATAACTTCATTAGTAAAAAAGTAATTTAAATTATCAAATCTTCTTGTTTTAACTATTTCAACTTCCTATATACAATTTAATTAAATTTAAAATGAAAATGGGTAAGTGGGTACCAAACTGCTGTATAGTATATGTCTAAATGGGTTGTTGTGTTAAATTTAAATTCAATGATACATAGCCATTGTAATCAAAATAAGTTTCTCAGCAGAAAGTTTCAGCCTAAATAAAAAAAATGCATTTGAAAATGTCAATATGGGTAATAAATGAAGTATATTTATTATGGATTAAAGTTATTAATATAATAATATATTTTAAAATTTCAAGTCCCCATTCATCAATATTATTTTTAAATTACAACAAAATAAATAAAATAGTTTTTCTTCATTTAAAGGTCATATTTGTCACAAATTTTTACTTAAAATATCTATCACAAAAAAACCGGGTTTTCATATTTTTTGGTTGCAATATGAATTACTTACGGGAAACCTTGTTTTAAATTTTTCAATCCTTAGCTATAAAAATTGAACATTTTATACATTTTTAAGAGCAAAATAATTGAAAGCTTATAAAAAAAAATTGTGAATAATATTCAATATTATGCATTTTAAATAATTTTAAACAGCTGCCATAACAACGTATAACTCTAGCATTAAATATTTATATTTTTGGTTCAACAGTAACATTCTTAACGTTTACACAAAATTAACTAAAAAAATTCAAAATATCTATATATAGCCCAATACAAGTTGAAATATTTTAAAATGTATACATATAAAATGATAAAATAAACATTGGTAAAAATGTCAAGTACCTTTTCAACGTGTACACTGTACACACGCCCAAAAAGAAAGAAATCATTGAAAAATCAAAAAATGTTATCTTTCCACACAGAATCTAAAAGATAAAATTTGAAGAGTAAATTATAGGTATAATTTTAGTTTTTACTGATATACTGCATTATAATTAACTTTAAAGCTTATTTTTTTTATTTGAAAATAGTCAGTATAAATTATAAAAAAGGTGGGCAAGTGGGTGTCGCTCTGCTGTACAGTAGGTTACAAGTGGGTCACTGTATAATGGATGATATTAAATTTGAATTCAACGATATAATATCATTGTATAAGAAAAACGATTCTGAGCGGAGACGGTATGTCAGTCTAGGTATAAGACATATCACATATTATATACATATCTATGGTACTAAACCAAAATTTGACCTATAATAAATTCCAAATTAATCATATCACAATATCCATTAGGTACTTATAACACATTATACATCAACAAAAACCGTGATACTATCATAGAAAGTGTACTATTATATATCTATATATCTGTATATATAAAAGACTTGTCCTGGGTGATTCATCATCGCCTAGCCGGAACTGCTGGGTCTAGAGACTTGAAATTTTGTACAGAGGTTCCTTAAGCAATGTAAGGGAGCACTAAGAAAGGATTTTTGAAAATTCGACCTACAAGGGGGTAAAAGTGGGGTTGAAAGAATATGATAGTGGCGCCATCTATCAAGCAATATTTAATTTAAATATACAATGTTGGTATTAAAATGAGTATTTAGATCAAAATTAAAACTTCACATTTTTAAAAATCTAATATTATCTTCTATATATATAAAAATGTCAGTGTGTGTGTCAATATTACCATAGCAACCATATCTGTATATATAAAACAGTAAGCTGATTGACTGCTATCAACGCATAGCTCAAACCATTGGACGGATCTGGCTGAAATTTGGCATACAGATAGCTATTATGATGTAAACGTGCGCTAAGAGAGGATTTGCCAAAATTCGCATTTTAAATAGGTGCTGAAACAGGGACATTGAGATTCACGATAGAAATTGGAAATTTTATTTTTATTTATTTATAGTTGCCATTGGTTACAGTCTACATTAGAAATTAGCATTTATTTATTGGTTGCCATTGGTTATTCGGGCAGATCAGGTACAAGCTTGCATCAAATCGAATTATTGAACATTGCCTACCAGGGTGGCTGAGTTGCACTTACCGCAGAAAGTTACACCCAAAAGGAGTTCAACAATCATAATTACACTTCCGTACAAACAGCACGGGATCCGCGATCTACCGCAGGTAGATTGCCTACCTGATAATGTACTGTTGCGAATCAGAATTTTTATTCAGGGTGACAGAAAAGATAAGATAAATTTTGAACACCATACACCGAATATTGAATAATGAATTGAACAAAGTTTGAGTCATATTGAGTTGATACATTTAACGGGCGACGAAGTACACGGGATCAGCTAGTTATATATATAATAGTTCACTTTAAAGGTTCAAGTACCCACGAATAATATTATTCAATCACAACAAAATAACTAATATAGTTATTCTAGGTTTTTTAATATGTAATTTCGTCCAAATTTGAATTTAAAATGTCTGTAAAAAATAACTGTGTTGATATATTTTTTTAGATTTTTTGGTTACAGTATGAACTATTTATGAGAACCTTTGTTTTAAATTTGCAATCCTTAGCTATAAAAACTGAACATTTTATAATTTATTAATTACAATGATTGATAATTTTCAAGATTTGATAAATTTTGTCAAAATTCGATCTTTAAATGCTTAAAAAAAAAATCTGTGCCTATGTATTTTTAATATTTTTCAACTGATATTGTAACAATATATCAGGAGCCTTGTATAAAATTTTTACACTTTTTGGCCCAACAGATAAAACTTTATTGATATTTATAGAAAAAAAAACTAAAAAAAGGTGGGCAAATGGGTGTCGCTCTGCTGTACAGTAGGTTACAAGTGGGTCACTCTATAATGGATGGTATTAAATTTGAATTCAATGATATAATATCATTGTATAAGAAAAACGATTCTGAGCGGTGATGGTATGTCAGTCTATGTATAAGGCATATTATATACATATCTATGGTATTAAACAAAAAATTGACCTATAATAGGTACCTATAATAAATTCCAAATTAATCATATCACAATATCCATTAGATACTTATAATGCGTTATACATCAACAAAAACCGTGATACTATCATAGATATATAATAGTACACTTTAGAAGTTTCAAGTACCCACGAATAATATTATACAATCACAACAAAATAACTAAAATCGTAATTGTTGGTTTAAATATGAAATTTTGTCTAAATTTGAAATTAAAATGTCTGTAAAAAATAAGTGTGTTTATATATTTTTTAGATTTTTTGGTTACAGTATGAATTATTTAAGATAATCTTTGTTTTAAATTTTCAACTCTTAGTTATAAAAACTGAACATTTTATAATTTTTTAATTCCAACGATTGATTATTTTCGAGATTTTGATAAATTTTGTCAAAATTCCAACTTTAAATGCTTATAAAAAAAAAATCGTGCCTTTGTATTTTTAAAATTTTTCAACTGATATTGTAACAATATATAAGAAAGCTTGTATTAAATTTTCA